AGGTAGCCGCGAGAAGAAAGCTCACGTGCGCTTAGCGAAGTTTGCGCTTGGCGATTTTGTGCTGTTGGGAAAAATCATCAAGTTCCCCAACAAGTTGGCACTCAACTGGAAAGGTCCGTACCGCATATCGCAGGTGGACTCGGACTATGTAATGGAAGTCCAACAGCCTGTGGAGCCGTTTCGGACGACGGTCCACCATGCCAGCCGGCTGAAGCTTTCAGCAAAGCTGCATTGGTTCAGCTAGAAAGCACAATATCAATCCCAACCTTACGAACCCGATCTCGTGCGCGCACCGCGCACCAAACCCGTCGAGTAGTGATTTTATCTCAAGTTCACGACCCAAGAATTAACTACTGTAGGCGATTCCAAGGGTGATCTCATTGTTAGTTTTTGTGTGCGTCGCACATGAAAGCAGCATACTTCAACCAAGACATCGTTTTCTTAGTTTTCGCTTCAAATGCACAACACTACATATACAGTATGTTCTGTATCTGTGAACCCTATTCCCACAACAAGCACTTCTTGGATGGGTTCAAGTACGAGTCAGTGGGGCACTGGAACACACGGGCAAACTCAGGGTTGTTTTGCAACGCCCCTGTGACGCGGTACCGCTCGAGCGTGTGCGTCCTCCAAAACTTATCGAGGATTTGGCCAGGTGTGTTCTTGGAGCACCAGGCTCGGGCGTACGACAAGTAGAACAACTTGACGCCTGCTTCTTCCGTGTTCTGGGACGGGAACTCCTTCAAGTACTCGCGGTACGCACGGAAACTGGACTTGAGCCCCCCGTTGTCCGCAATGTTTTCACCCAAAGAGGTCTCGCCGCTGACCTTGCCCAATACAGTGTCAGTCACTTCGCTCTTGACGACAACGTTGTCGTACTGGTCCCTAATGCACTGGACTTTCGTGTTGAACGAAGCGCTGGAGGCGCTCGATCACCACTGTTTCAATTTTGCCGTCGCAATCGCAATAACGGCCGCTGTTGTCGAACCCGTGGGTAATTTCGTGTCCGATGACCATCCCGATGGCACCAAAGCTCTGGGTGGCGTCAAACTGGGCGTCAAAGAATGGTTTTTGCAAAATGCCGACCGGGAGTATAATTTTGTTCTCGTGGGGTCTGTATAACGCGGTCGCCTCATGGGTGGCCTTGCCGAACTTGTACCTGTCCACAGATTGGCTGTTCAGCTTCAAGTTGATGTCGATTTTCACTTGAGACATCTTCCACCGGTTGTTAATATGACTTCGAGTCCAGCGTTAGCGTGGGGTGCAGCTGTGGCTTCTCCGGGCCACCCAACAAGTGTAACATCTTGGACAGCTTCGTTTGCACGTTGGCGCGGCTCGAGTGGTCCAACCAGTCGGCAGTGGCAATGGCGGTGGAAGGACGACTTCAAGGCCTTGACCAGCCAGTTTGTCTGCTGTCTTGGCCGTAAAGTTTACTAGCCGAGAACTACTCGTAAATGAAATACTGTTCCAAGAGATCATCCATGGTGGAGTGCGTCTCAGACAAGCAGAACGTTTGACGAGTAGGTTCCACCTTTTCGCCATTGATCTCTTTGCCGAAGAAATCCCAGTTGACCGTGCGGAATTCAGGGGTCAAGTGTGTAGAAGAGGGTGGATGAGCTTGTACTCCACGATGGTGCTGAGATTGTCCAGTGTAGTGTTCTTCAACAACACTTCGGTCTTGTCAAACTAGGTCAAGTAGTTAAGCCCCACCCAGTCGTTCGACCCACACCACTGGTCGTAGATGTCGAAGGCGTTGGGCTTGAGCCACGAGCCGACAAGCAGCGGGTACTTCTGGTCCAGTGGCTGTACGTAAACTGAGTATACGGAGAGTCAACAGTCCCTAGCTTGATGAGGTCGACACCGGCCAGAGTGTGCTCGAAACTCGTGATCACCGGCACGGCAGCGGCCACTTTCTCAGCAGTGTAGCCGGCTAGCTGCAACATCGATACAATGTGAACCTTGTAGTCGGATTCGACGTACTTCCACTCGGAAGAGGTGGTGTAGTATGAGCAACGCAGCGGCAGGTGGGTTTGGAAACCGAAGAGGCGTTCTTGGTCAAGTCGTTGTCATCAAAGCTCGAGTTGATGTCCACAAAGGCAGGGATGCCGCTCTTGGCCAATTCGCCAGCGTAGCCGTGTCCAAACAGGAGTTGTAAAACTCACCAAACTTACCAAGCTTGGTCTTGTTGTCAGAGAAAATCGTCAATACGCCTTCGTTTTGGATGGCTAAATTTATCTTGTTGAACAACGTATCAATTCGGTGTATGTTATCAATGTTGTAACGGAGTCCGGATGACATCCGTACACGACATCCCATTAGTCAATCCCAATCCTGATCGGAGACTTTGCTTCAATGGTTGATATTTTTGGCCAACTTCATTTTCCTTTTCACTCTACGATGGTCAAAGTCCTCATCTCCCTCAGCGTGTTCGCCTGTGCAGCTACGGCTGGCTCCGTCACGGAACTCGTCGAGTCTGTGACCAAGCTCAACGGCTACTCCATCAACCCCTGCGACGACTTTTATCAATATCCGTGTGGCGCGTGGCACAAG